TATCTTTTCCACAAAATATGGAAAAGAAACTGGAGATGGTATATTCCATTAAGTGAAGTTGACTTGGATTCAGGAAGAAGAGAAGTTGATTTAGATTTATTAAGACAAGAAATTGCCGAAGAGAAGGCACTTATTGCTTCAAAACCAATTTGGTACAGAGTATATCATACATGGTGCTAATGACAAACGCTTTGTTATTTTAATAACACAATAATTTATTGTCATACCAATTTTTATTTTATTATTAATTTTATGTTTATCTTTTTGCACTTTTATTTTTTATTTTTACTTTTTTATTCATCTAATTGGCTTTGTCTTTAAATCTTGGGGTTTTTCAAATCTTTTTGAATTTGTACTTTACAATGTTTATAATGTTTATAATGTTTATAATTTTTAATACTAATACTAAAAATAACGTGTTTTAATGTTTTAATTAAATATTAGGGAAAATAATAAGATATAGAAAAATTCTCGATACATTTTTTTTTCAAGCTTCGTTTCCAATGTATTTTTTGTAACAAACTTCATTTTTATAAACTTCCGAATTTGAAAAACTTCACTTTTTGGCTGAAAAACCTAATTAAAAATGTAAATGAATCTGAGGGTTTCAACTTTTTTCAAACCCAAAACTGCTGAAACCAGTGTTCAATCAATTTTAGAATGAAACAAGTTACATTGAGGTTTTAGTTATTAACCTACAGTTTTTGTTTCCCCAAATGTTGAAAGGAAATTTAATTAAAGTTTTAAAATAGTATTATTTAAATAAACCGTCAAAAAAAAGTTTAAGAATCAAAGACGGAATAACAATTATAAAATATATCAAAGTAAAAAAATTGTATCAACAAAAAATATAATCTGAAATAAAAACAAAAAAAAACAAAAACATAAACAAAAAAAAATAAAAATAAAAAATGCAAAGTATACAAGGGAAACTTAACACCACAAATGATATACTCTGTACCAAATTGGTTTTGAAGCAATAAATGCCTTCTCTTCGGCAATTTCTTGTCTTAATAAATCTAAATCAACTTCTCTTCTTCCTGAATCCAAGTCAACTTCACTTAATGGAATATACCATCTCCAGTTTCTTTTCCATATTTTGTGGAAAAGATA